CCGTATAATTTTAAGAATTGAGATTTCAATTCAAAAAATACTTGTAAAAATTTACAAGTAGAATTCGTTACATTTATATATATATGTATATATATGTACACGCATAGTTTCCGCACAAACATCCTGCGAATGGCTCGTATCGGCCTTATTTGATTCCTGTTGAATATGCTTATGGTTCTATTCCGTGCTACTGATTTACCGAAATGATTTATAGCGATTTCGGCTGGTCTGCACCGGTGTGCCACCTGTGTAGAGTTGGTGCAAGTGTGTGCAGTGCGTTACACTCATGTGGTGTTGCACTGGATATTTCGACCACAGTAGTGTGTATCAGCCGAACACGAGACTACACCAACTAGCTCCAACTAGAGAGAACCCTGAGAGCGGCTATAAGAGTTTCTGCGATAGCTTTTCGTGGACATGGTTCTATTCTGTGCTAAGTTTGTGGACATGGTTCTATTCCGTGCTATGAGAACACCGACGTGGTGGGGATACGCACACAAGCAAGACCGTTGTCCGTGTGCGCTCGTGGAAGAGTGCAGATATATTATGTCGATTACAATATATGACGACGGTTCTTTTCTATTTTGCTTTTTAAAATACTGAGTTATTGTAAATTAAGTAAAACTTTTCTTNTAAAATTTGATAACAATGCAAACGTTATTAGAAAAATATTACTTACACTTGTTATAATAAACAAATAAAGTATTATTTATTNACTTTTTTTTACTACCAAACTTTTACAAAATAACACAAGTGTAATTCTATATCGTACAAAAACAGATTTTGTGTGTATGACAAAAACTACGAAATTATATTACGTTAAAATTNTATCCTAATCGAAATACTTATCTGCCGATTCAGAAATATTATGTCTTGGTGGTGGAACTTTTTCTTAACCATATTAAAACCTTTAGTTTTATAAAATAATATGTTAGTGTTCTAAAAACTATACGCACAAACAATTTAACATGCATTTTATTTGGTAGAAAATAAAAAATACTATTCGCATTTTACAATCCCGTTATTATAAAATTGCATTACGTATCATATATTTTAGTAATAAAATAGTTTTGAGTTTACAAGGTTTTATAAATTTTTCGGACAAAACAATGTGTAGATTTTTTATATGTCACATCAAGATATATAAGTTTTACACCTATATAACAATTTTTTACTGGACACATCCTTTTATCANTACTCATTTCAAAATTTTCTATAGATTACTCTTTCAACATATGCCTTTAGATCTTCCAGACTTTTGTATACTTTAAGACTGAAATTCATTCTGTAAAAGAGTAAGGAGAAGTAATTACATACGTCTCTTATTTTCGTATTTATTAGCATAAAAAGAGATAGGAAAAAATAAAAAATGAACNTATACTTACTTGTGGAAAGCACTCTCTATTTCGGCGACTTTGGAAATATTACACACAATGGCAGTTTTGCATTTTCTCGGGTTAAACAATGGTTTGATGTATAAATCTCTCACACGGTTCATGTCATCCATAGTAACGGCGGATATGTGTTGTACTATCTGATGAATATAATCGTCATACGGCACGTTTCTACAGTAACATTTCAACGATAGTTCTATCATACGCCTTACGTTGTTTGCTTCGTTCACACAATTCAAGATAGCTAACGATTTAGCTGATTCGTAAAGATATTGGTTCCATTTGGTTTTGGCAATATGCGTTTCCTGTATCAAAAAACCACAACTATAGACAATCGAAACTTGCACTATTTTCAAGCAATTACATATACGTGTCCAACTCAGTTATAATCTTAACAAAAGTCATACTGCAATCAACTTCAAGTCCTTGTATACTGATAATATGTCTGCATGAAAAAGCTCCATCCATAAAAGTCCCTCGTCCGGTGACACGTGAAGGTTGTAGCTAGTCGCTTTGTTTATAGTTGTTTTCCACATAGGTCCCTGGAAAAGTATGCGTGCATGAAACAGCTGACGAACATTTTGCATTTTTAACGAACAATCACGTGCTTACTCCTATTTGTATAAAATACTTCACGCAGACAATCAAAGCTGGAAAATCGGCATGTTGAACATTATTTATGCACGGACAAGTTTGGGCAAAGAATGTAGAATTTATATGTTCTAATCCGAGAATAGACCCGTTGTAGATCAACCAATCAAAAGATTTAAGTAGTTCCCAATCAGCGGTGATGTTAGGTCTGAAACGTGCGTAATTGATAAAATTGCTACATTTCCATACTTTTACATCGTATATCTACAGCTGACTAAGAAAGATCAAAAACTGATATACACAAATATTAAAAACTATGATATCATTAAGTAGTATAACAATGGCATAAGTCTCTTACAGGAGTCGTGAAATTTTTTTTATGTTATAACTTATTGGNATTTAAATCTTATATATCTTTCTTCACATTATTAAACACTAAAAATACGAAACACTAAAAGTACGAAACTTTTTACATCTATATGTATCACTTTTAGATCTCCTCTTATTTTATCCGTCCGCGTCAATTGCGCGACTCACTGTAAGAACTTAAATAAAGTAAGCCCTAAGCTTCTGATTACTATGGTACTTTATCAAAATGTTTTTTAAATACTTTGGTTTTTCTGAAGTCACCAGATCTGAAAAGTATTTATTCCATGGAGCATAAACATCTGAAACTTGTTCTGTTAATTTATCGACATTTACGGCCATATATACAAACATATTCTTCGGTGAAATCAGTAGTTTTCGAACAGATTCGATTTCCGTTATTAAGTAATTTTGGACACCATCAATATCTAAATTATCCATAATATCACTATAAAAAGTGTACTGCCGTAAGGTGTTGCATGTAAACTGGTTAGTGTCTGCCAAACAAAAAGTTTATACTATTATTGGTAATGTGTATTCGAAATGTGAATATTAAGTACAATTTCAACAGAANAACCTTTTTGGTATAACACTATGTCCAGTAAAGTCTTTACAAGATTCTCTCCTTTTGTATAACTTTCAAATTTGCGTATTAATTGTGTTACTACTTTTTTTAATCTTTTGGCCGTTAGTTTAGAATCATATAAAAGCTCTTTACACCATTGTACACCTTTTTCATAATTCTGTAATTCAACCTATACAAAAAGAAAAGTATACAAAAGCTAAAATTTAAAAGTATTACAAATTATCTTTTTCCGGAAGAAATTAGTGAAACAATGTATACATTACCTGAAGCACTAAAGATATACTATTACTGTAGTTTCCGTTAATATTAATACCAAAATGAGATTTACATCTTATAGTATCAGCTGCTAATAAATCTTTTATTTTTTCGTAAGGAATTAGCTGATTTTCTCTTTTCACCGGGGATTCTGTGATTAGTTCATTCAATAACGGAATATAGTATCTATCTTTTGCATTAAGATAAGAAGTGTCTATAATAACTTGTAACTAAATTTGAAATAAGTAAGTATTTAGCACTGTATTTTACAAATAATTGATAGTATTTCAAGTATATATTTTGAAAAACTAAATATAAAATAGATATACAAATTTTCATTTTTACAATAGAATCGTATATAATTATATGCGATAAACAAGAATGGTACTCACATAAACAAAATTTGTATTAACATGATCTAAGTGAGTAAACAATGGCAGTTTTGTAACATCTAGTTTAGGATGTTGCTTGAGTGTTTCAGTGTTATACCTTTCAATGTCATGAAAGATGATGGAATCTGTGTCAAGTTCAGGCANCTTCGTAATTACTTTGTAAGGCACAAAGTTCTTAAAAGATCGGTAAAAAAATCAAAGAAATAGATAAATTTAATTAAATATTACCAATATAAAAGATAGTTACTATATTTATAATCTAATATATAGCAATTTAATATATATGTATATATACACATACACAATCTTTGATAGCTTGCTGAAGCTCTTTTTTTTTCTGTTCTAAACAATTTATGCCTAACTTCGCGATTTGCTCAGCTATATGTTTTTCTTCTTCTTGTAACTTACGATACTCGTCTAAACTGGGCTTGCCTCTTACAACAACTATCGGTGCGTCGACAAAATAAGTTTTGAGAAGATGTAGAAAATATTCTTCAGGTTCGACTTTCAATTTCTCGAGATCGCGTATATTATTTAAACTTTGATCCAACTATGCGCAATCAAGAAAAGAAAAATACAATTAAATATATAATTAAACTAAATCGAGTACAATTTGTACCTAGAGTAAAATGTCTCACATTAGTGGTATTTCCGTATATTATATGATCAAATACTACGGATGCGATATTGTCATGCGGATTATTTTCGAGGATAATGTTGTAGTGTAGAATTAATCGATGAATCACAGTTTTCATCGTTTCCATATTTATACCATTGGTATATAAATCGTTAAATATTTCATGAACTGAAGTTTTTGTGATCAGATTGATTTTGTCTATTGGTACGTCCTTAAAAATGATATTTAAGACCGAAACTGGCCATCTGAACGAACGGCATTGAATAGTGCAGGAAAGTTTATTTTTTTTAACAAAATCTTTTGTCAACGGACTACTGCTTGTCTGTGTGAGATATTCTAGGAGTAAAAGACAACCGCGATAGTCGTATATTTGAGTAATTGGCGAAGGTCCTTGCCAAGCAACATACACCGAATCATATGTATTGCCAGGGGATGGTACAGCGACGTCCACTTCGACGCTTTCCTTAAGTTGTTCAATCGGAATTTGCCAAGGTTTCTTGAATATATCTTTTCTTTTCTACAATTGTACAATATCAAACTAAATTTTACAATAATATAAAAATGATTTAGACATACTAGTGCTTTGATATAGAAGAAAAAGAGTAAGTGCAAAAACACGCAATACTTTTAACAATGCCTATACCTCCGACAGTATTTTTTGTTCTAAAGGCAGTAATGCTTGGAAAATTTGATCGTGTTTTATTTTACCCGTTATCAATATAGTCAAGTTTTCAGGTCTATAGAATTTTTTGTGAAACTGTTTAAGTTTTTCAATAGTAGTACTTTCGCGCAAACTTTTCGTTGTACCTATAATTAGAAATATAAATATTTCTTAGGGTGTATTTCTAA